ACCCTTTTGTGAATAACCCTGAAAGTGACGATGGTATTGCTGTTTCAGTCATGGCCGATAGGTGGCGCTCCCGCGGCTTTCTGAACGGCATGCATTCCATATCCATGGAGTCAGGAGTGCCTTACACCTTAATGACGTATGTTGACAGTCATTGTACAATTGTTGGGAAAGTCTAAGTTTCAGTTTCACATTTGATGAAATCATTAGCATAAGAGGAGAAACCTGTTGTAACCCAATACTTGGAGGAAGACAGTTCGCAGATCATTGAGCTCCTAGGATCGGTGAGTCCTCTTCTTTTCATGATGTTAATTGTATTTATTCTGATATCTAAACCCAAAAACAGAAATGTAACGTATTGCAGCTTGCCAGTCCAGAAGTAGCGCCTGCGTGAGTTTTGCTGCATCAGTATTTTTTTAACTTATTCCTGTCTGAGATTCACCTTCTCTATTTGTCCCGGTGACCATCGTCACTGAGACATAAGGTGATAAGAAATTCAATGTATTTTAGTCATCACCAGAACATGATACAATGAGAAATCTCCCCATGGGGGCATCTGTTCTTATGACAACCCTCTGAGAGGAGAATTTCCCCACTTTCCTGAGATTTCCTCTCACTTCCTGGTGCATCTCTATAGCAGTAGGTGAAGGGTAATCCCTGCAAGGGGACGTAGCCAGCTAACAATAAACTGACGGGTTCTGACCATTTCCTACTCTATCCAAAAAGTAACAAAGATTTGGGCATACATTAACTGTAGACGTGCGATTTGTTTCAGAAAGATTCGGGTTTTTTTTGACGAAATTTTGGAAATTGATACATTCGGATTCATATGAATGACAGAAGCGGTAGTATGTATGAATTTTCGTTGCAGCAAAGTGACATTAGACAAAAGAAAATGACTTTTTTTTTTTATAGTCCGCAGAAGAGAAAAAAAAAAAGCGTGAGGTTCCTCCCAATTGATACCAGACCCTTTAGTTCTGGTAGGAATGTTAGAAGGGACCCCCCAAGGTAAAAATAAAAAAAGTGCATGGGGTTCCCCCAAAAGTTATACCAGGCCCTTTAGGTCTGGTAGGAATTTTATGGGGGAGTCCCACCCCCAAAAATGGGGAAAAAACGTGGGTGCCTGGCAGGGCAGGAAAGAAGGGGGGGGGGGGGGCCCCCCGGAAAG